AGGTAATTGATAGTGCTGCATTAACTGTTTTTTTTTTTCTAGTAAATGAATTAATTGGCCAATGAAAATAGATTGGAAATAACAGAAATAATAAAAGGCTGCATCCATTTCAAAAGCATGTGACACACACAAAAAAATATGCTTGCAAGGATGTATTAACCACAGGCAAAAACTGCATCTCAGCCTTGTTTTTTTTCTCTCTCCCTGGTTTTGTAGCTGGTCTTCCTCCAAAAAAATGACTTTGCCCAGAAGCAAATTAATATAATAACTTTAATACACTCATATATAAGTAATATAACAGTGATGCTATTTAATGCTTTTGTTTTCTATAATTTTTGTGTTTATTTTTGTGATTTTCAGGACATCCTTAACAACCTGGACCCTCTGGCAACAGGAGAATTGGATGATGATGACCTCATGCTGGATGTGGACCTCCCAGAGGATGGCTTGCATGGTCAGAACACCTGAGTACTTGCAGACATACACACATAGACATGTAGTTCCTAACTGCAGTTATCTTATTCAGATTTGTAAGGTTATTTTACGGCCATGAAAATTGCTGCAGCTTTATTGGCTAGAACTGTTTCTTTTATTTATAAGCAGATACTTCCAGCAAAGCTTTTCTGATCAAAACTGTAAATTAAACCATTGCCAAGGCCAGAACTGTCTATTTCTAGTAGTCTCATTATGTGGCATATAATGGCTTGAACAAATTGTATCCTTGGGTGAAGATTTGCCTGAGAAACATCCAGCAAACTATTTTAATGGATACAGGGTTGTCTGTAATGTGGTGGACTCTTTTAATGTTTGATTGATGAAGTTATTAATTTCAGCTCCAAGTCTGACATAAAACTGGCTTTGGATAAGAGCTACTTTCTAGAAGTTTTCAGCCAGCTGTTTGGCTGTGTTTATGACGGATGAACAGATGCACATGTACTTGGTACGTGTGCATATGGTACACACACAACCAAAGTAGATATACAGGCTTAGCAAGACCTGCCTGTACATATGTTTCTCTTGACAGCATCAGTATGGTTTTACATGATTAGTTTAATGCTTTTATATTCAGACAGCACGTCACCCACCTCTGCCTTGATCCTTGAGTCTTGGCTGTTTTCTCTAATCATTTTCACTTTTCACTGCAAATTTAATCAAACTCCAGATTCATTAAGATTGAGTAAAATAGCTTCTATGTAGGTGTTAAAGGTAATCAGGTCACATCATTACCACCTCATAATACTGTTGACAGTATTATTACTGGATTCTTCAGATAATGTTTGTCACAAGGAGAGAGAAGGGTTGAGATTGACCTCTCATGTCATTAAATCTATTGAACTCGAGTGGTTTTAAGATTGAATCACTCATTCTTATCAAAGTAGAATTCAAGGCTAATAGGTTTAATGCACAATACCTCTGACAAGCCTATACAGTATGTGCAAACAACGCTCCCTTCAACCTCCTAAAAAGCAATGTAGATTTTGTGTGCATGCTTTCCTGTGCACATGCAAGGTTATGAGATTAGATTTGAATCTGTGCTTCCAAGTAAAAAAAAAAAAAAAACTAGAATAGAAACAGACTGTTAGAAATTTCATGAACGTAGAATTTATTGCGTACTTGGCATACCCAGGAAATTTGCATCAAAGTATATATTGTCTCTAAACAGTGATCTCCTTGTTTTTGAGAGAGGGACACAGAGACACTCTAGAGGAATGTGAACTGGAATGTCATCGCTTCCTAATCCTTTTCGGGTAGCAGCCATATTTATAGCTCAGTAAGTCATGGGTAAAGTTAGTGTCATGTGAGGCAGAGTGAAAGCAAGACAGGCTGAGGACTCCAGTTTGACCCAGCCCACAGGGCAGGCCGAGAGATGTGGGATACGGATGGGTGTTACTCCTAAAGACACCCCGGCTCAAAACAGGAAGAGCAAAAGGGGAGAAGAGGACTTAAAAAACAAGTGGAGGATAAAGGAGGCCTCACAAAATCTTTTCATCCAGCTGTCAGGTCACTTGACAAAAAGAGGGGCCAGAGTTTTCCTCTCTTGCCTGTCTCAGCTGGTGACTTCCTAGCTTGGACACGAACCAGTCACCTCATCTGCTCTCTTACCACCACCACCACAGTCCTCTCTCCCCGGCTCCAGTTCCTAGGGAGTTCCCAGAAAAACAAGGCTGTCAACAAAGACTGGGCCAGGCAGGAGGGGAGCTCGGTTGACTTTCTCTCTGGCCTTTTAACAGTTCACCAGCTGACTGGACAAGGAGTTATTTTGCTCTCGTCTTCATCTGAGTTTCTCTACATTTACGGATTTTTTTTCCCCACACTTGGAACATATTCAGATTGTTTTACTTTTTGTTTTAGGCTTTTCTGAGCTGAAAAGCAGTGACTGTACGTGGTTAACTTTCCTGGAATGTAGCAGCTCAGTGTGAGACAGACTGTCTGCTCCTGTGCTATGAGGTGACACTCTGGGTAAAGTATTTTAACCACAACTGCTGAATTCCTCAGATTGGATCTTTTAGTCTGCCAATATTTGTTTAAATCTCTTTTTCTTTATCTCTTTCTACCCATTTTCCTTCAGTCCAAAGAGCATCTGGTATATAGAAAGTCAAGGGTCCTTTTGATTTCCTGGGGGTTGTGCTCTGTTAGTTGTCAATTTTGTTGCAGTCATGGTTCATTTCACAGCTATATGCTATTGAGTATTGCCAAATACTGTGTCCTTTTACCTCCTTGAAAATGAAATGGCTTGTCACTTTGTGTGTGTGTGAGAGAGAGAGAGAGAGAGAGAGAGAGAGCAGTTGTTTGCATTTGATAGTGGGAACAGTTGAGAGAATGAGATGGATAATCGCATCATTTTCATGCAGATGTTTTGAAATTTTTGAAAGAAGCACAGTGGTATTCATTACCACAGGGCATTCATAGTAGTGCATTGTGCTATTGCGTTTTTGTGTATGTTTGTATTACATTGTTAGTACTTTTTCTTTGTTTTAGGTCTAGAGGGCAAACCCATGAAACTAAATGATTAGTTTTTAGTGTAAACACTTTTTTAAGGATAGAGTACGGATAGGTCAGTTTAGAGTAAAGGTTAGAATTAGCCCTCATCAGCACAGGAAGCTCCTGGCAGCGATCTAGTGACCATAGATCACAGAAACTCAATGATATTCAGTGACTTCAGATAACAGTTGGTGAAATTACTGCTTGCAATGAAGTGATACATTGACATATGACAGGGACTAAATACATTATAGAGTTTTGTGTGCGTGTAACTTAGGGCTGTTGTAAAATGTGTATCTTTGCATTTTTATGCCTCAAATTCACCCACAAACATAACCGTATCACCAGAAGTGATTTTTCTAAGGCTATACTCTACATCGAGGCTACATCTCAAACAGTTGCTTTACAAATTTTAGGTCATAATCCCCAACCATCACCTACGTCCTCTTCTTCCAGACATACATATATGTATATTTACTACATCTCATATTCTCTCTATATAGAGACTGATAGGATGTCCCATATTGAGCGTCCGGAGCGGGCCAATCGGCAGGGGCAGCGGCGTAAACACCATCGCTGGAGTGGATCAGATCACTTTCATAATGATACCAGGTCAGTCAGGTTTGAAAGAGTAAGAAATGTTATAAAAATGTTACAAAAAACCAAACAAAACATGAGTCTAAATCTGTAAAAAGCCAAATTAAAAAGATATGAATACACTGAATATGTCACTGTTTCTCTGTCTTTGTTTTTTTGTTTTTCCCTCAGGGCTCATGTCTTCCAACATTATGATGGTTTCAGAGCTTCAAAGAACTCAGCCCGAAAGGAAGGCAGGGAGCATGGCTACATGCCAATGTTAGATGGACTTGCACTTGAGCACATGACTCAGGACTGCAGCTTCCTCAAGAACCAGCTGCTCAAGCTCAAAACGTTACTAGAGGTTCGACCCACATTTGCACAGATGCAAACACAAAAACCGATACGCTTACTTGCATATTTGTCCAGTATTCTTTGTCCAATAACAGAAACCTTTGTACTCCTTAACATGAACAGTAGACTCAGGCTTTTATTTTGGGTCTTAATAATCCACACTGATTGTAAACACTGCTTATCATGGGGATGAGGGTGTTTTGGCTGCAGTTCTGTCTATAAATTATACATTTGTACTAGTTTTCTGTAAGTTTAGTTTTAGTAATCTTCTTCAGTATGCTGGGGGCAGACTATATCACTGAACACACTAAAAGTGGGTCTTAATAAAACTGAAAGGAGCTAGTTTTCTTAACAGGTTTCCACACTGAGCATTTTTAGGGGGATTTTTTTTTGTGTCTAATTACATAAATCCAGTAGCTGTTGCAGTGTAGCGAGATCATAAAAGACAAGACAAGACTTTGCTATTTGTTTTAATGCACTGGGCCAGTCTTATTTTTGCTCATATATTGCCTCATCCATTGTGAATTGTTGCAGTTCAGTTCAGTAAAATGAATTAAGTTGTGTGATTTAAAAGGCTTGTGTGCAACAGTACACTTGTGCTTCCGTTTTGTATATACAGTATACACAGTATATGCATCTGTGAAGGCGATCACTTAATAGATGCACCCCTGTCAATCAGAGAAATCCACTTAGAGGAAAGAAACAGATTGGGTGACTGGGATGAAGAAAAGGGAAATGGAAGAAACTGAACGAGGAAATGTGCACTTACATGTACGATGAACACACAAAATCGTCTCTCTATTGAAACACAGCCAATTTTAGGCAATCGCAGAAATGCACCGGCACCGGCACTTCACACTCCGTAAAACAAAATTATCTCGAATGCCTCGACTCAATTTAGCCTCAGCAGCATAAAAAAGTAATGTTTACGTTTAATCCAAATGTCTCCTTCAGATCTGTTCAGCGTGCTCGCTGCAATTAGTCAAACACTTGGGCTGTATAGCCTCAAGAGGGAAGATATTTTTTTTTTAGCAACTTTGTTCTTAATTGTGCAGCTTTTTCTTCATATGATCCTGAACTCAAAGCAATTGTAGAATGAGCTTCCAGCTGTGCTAAATCCTAAATCAAAGGCTAAAATCCAGCACAACTCTCTTTATACCTGCAGATTATAATTGGATAATTCTACATAACATTAATGAGGCTGAAGTGGAATGTACCCTTTAAGTGAAAATTGTTACCAAGCTAGTTGACAAAATGTTCATTAAACATTAAATACCAGCCACTTAAGTACATATGCTTGGTGTCTAAAAACCTTCGGATGGCACTGATTAAATAATTGGGATAATAATTACATTAATGTCGTAGGAGTTTATAGAAAAGTTGAACACACAAGTAGCCACTGATACAAGGACATTTTTGGATATAAAATAAATGTCTTTAGTTCAAAAACAAACTCTGCCTCTGGTATCTAACACTTGTGGCTGACAGTTCAGGGTCAGTGGAGTGTATGTGCTAAAGAGTAAAATTATTCCACCATAGTGAAATATTGCTCCTGAGGCATGCTGTAGGCAGTTGCCATTGATTTAACTCACTGTGTACTCTCTGTCTGTGTGCGTGCCCTCTCTTGTGAATGTGTGTGTTTGTTTGTCTCCAGCTTGAGGATACAGACACTCCAGCAGATGTTCCTGTAGAATCTGAAGACAGTACCTCTGCAACACAGGTAAGAAACTGTGACTGCAGTTTACAGTGAAGATTGACTGAAAATGTGGTTTATGATACATATCTATCTCTTGATCTATCACTTTATTATGCTCTTTTTTTAGTTCCTAAATAAGGGTGTGTATGTATGTGTTTGTGTGCGTGTTTTTAGTTGGAGGTGCTGGTAAAGGAAGTGCAGGTGCTCAGAGAGGAACTGAGGAGTCGAGACAAGATCATTGCTCAGCTCACACTGCAGTGTCAAGAACTACAACAACAACATCGACAGGAACAGATTGTGAGTCGTTGTAAACATGGCTTATACAACTGAAAAGGGGAATCTGTGCCACATATAGATATACTTGGAGTGTAACCGTTCAGTCGTCCTGCCTCAAAGCTGAGACAGAAATTACACAGAATAGTTGTTTTGTTTTTTTCCAAGCATAGTATGTGAGGCATATCTGCTGTTGAATTGTGTTTAAAGGTGTCATGAATTATTCTGCATCGAAGTTATTATAGTTGACGAAATTAAATTTAAAAACTAAAAACATATGTGAAAAAACTATTTAGCAAACTAAAAAGGAAGGAAAGGAAAACCCTTACACTAAAATGTGTTTTAGTATGGTAAACAGAAAAAACTGTGAAAATATTTATTTGCTTTTATGATTGACTGACCACAGGTTTAGTAGAAATAACATCCTCTTTTGGCAAAATGCAAACACAGTAGAGATTTTGACACAAAGTATCAATGAATTAGTCCAAAAACAGTGGAAAATGTCAATAAAATAAAAAAGAAAGAGGAAAGAAATAATAAAGTCAGGTGTGAGTGCTCATAAACTATAAATGCAAGTATAACATACAGAAGATCAATACAGGCTCTTCTTCAGTTTGATGAGATCTAGGTTTTACAAGATCCTCTGTGATTTACAGGCAGAGCTGAAATGGCTTCAAGGCTCATGTTTGCGTGTTGCATTCATGTAGCGCTCAAAGTGTTTTCTCTCTGAGAGATCACCCCTGTGACATCAGATCTCTTTACTGATCTGCGATAGTTAGGCATGTCTGGCCATTGCTACTGCCTTATTCTTCTCTATCAGATCTTACAATTGAAGGTTTAAAAAGACAGATGGATTGATAAAAATATGTAGTGGAAAAAGTCTGATAGACCCACTTTTCTAGTGTTCAAGTGATCAAAGAAGATATACTGCAATACCCTTCATCATAGGTGGGAGTTGGGTATGTTGCTGGACTCCTACATGCACACCAGTGTGTTACTCATGCCTGCCAACAACTTCCATTCTGTTTGCCTTTAGCTGGCTCCATCTCCTCTCTAACATTCATTAGTGTCCTGACCAGGCTCCCTTGTTAGCCAAACAACAGTATGCCTAGCTGACATTATTCAAATCCCTGCCATATCAAGAAATACCAAAATGTCAAAGCAAGGTCTGTTCTCCTGTCTTGCCACTGCATAGCATTCTTCCAATTAGAATAAGCACCCACCCACAGGTTCTTCAGTCAGAACGATATTGTTCCACCCTTAGCCTCAACAAGCAGAGGCTGTAAGAAAAGGCTGGGGCATGTTTTCAGATCTTTAGCTGACTTTAATGAGTGTAGAAGCTGAAGGAGTGAAAGTGTTGGACGACGGCAGAAAGAAAATAAAAACGGAAACAGCAACATTTACTCCTCCGACTGTACTCAAGCATTTTGTGTGCAGCCGTTAGAAGAATGTCAGAAGAATGTCCTCGCAGTAAAAGGCTAAATGATGAAACCAAAACAAAGAAACACAAAAGTTTTGGAAGTTTTCTTCTGTCAAGTGTGTTTGGTGAAAATCTAACATTTATGTGCAGGTCATTTGGTTCATATTGGAACTAGAGTTAAAGAGTAAACGGCGACTGGACCTGCTTTATGTCCTTGAAATTGGGTAGAGGGTAATATTAAAGTTGGTAAAGATTCAAGTAAAGCTGAGGGAGGTAAAGCATTAGAAAGTGCTGAGAAACAGACATGTGGAAAAAAATGAGTAAATTGAACATAGTGCAGTAATGAGAAAACAATAGAGGAGCTGCGTGTGGATGGGAGACGGTTTCTTGCTGTATACAGTGTGTATCTATGTGTGTGTTTGTGTACATTGAAGGCTAAGAGGAGAAAATGGGAGTGAAAATGAAATAATGGGAGAGAGGAAAGTGGAACTATCAAAGATAAAAAACTGATTTCCCAGTGTTGCTTGACAGTATGTAGCTTTGAAGGCGTCTTCTGCTGCACTTGAGGTAGACTGCTCATGCTCACTGCACTGAAGTTTTTACCAAGGCTGGCAAACACCTGCGATTCATGTCAGATCCTTTCATGCCTTTTCACAGCCAAAATTTCTTTGCTATTCAGCCACATATGAAAAAAATGTGATATCAAGCTCAAGTTTTTTTTTTTTTTAAACGAAAATGTAATGTGGTGCACATCATTAGTTGCTCTGACCTTCTGATTCAATAATTGATTGAGTTAATCGTTTGAATTAAAAAGAAGGTTAGGAAAGTGGTTTGTCAGGAAAGGTTTTGACTGATGAAAAAAGGAGGCAATATTGGGTGAACATGCGCTTAAAGTAAATGTCAGCGAGTTTAATTTACTGCAGGATATTTTAATTACTATGTAAAGGTAATTGTAGCCATTTACAACCTGGTCTTGGTTTTCCCTAATGTGCATCAATTTTAATCAGAGCAGGGTGATAATTTGCTGGCTCCCAGTTTTCATGCACATTCAAATCGTCTGGAAAAAAAAGTGGATAGAATTTTATTGCTTTGGATGAGAAATATATATATATATATATTTTAACAATAAATTACATTTATCAATTTAAAAATGAACCCTTGCTGAAGACCCTTTTTTCTGTTCATTCAAGTGATTACATCTGATATATTTAGCTTTTTGTTATGTGTGGCAGCACATCAGTTAGGTTTTTGACTGGTGATGCTAAATGTTTGTGATTCATCCCAGTGAAAAAAAAAACTTATCTTTTTTTTCTTAAAGCTTCAATTAACTTTCTAGTGAGATGTTTTCTTTTAAGTTCAACCCAGTTATTATTTAAAAGTTGAAGTGAGCTGAATCCAAGTGCACAGTGGGTGTTGTAGTAAAAGGGGACTTGCTTTCAGTATATTAAGGCCTATTCAGTTTTCTCTCTGAGTACTTTTATTTGACTGCGTATAAAGTGGCAAGCTTTTAAAGAGCGTGAGAGCAGAGGCTTGAAAAGAAGTCACCAGAGTTAAAACCCTTTCTTGGCCTTCCTTCCTTTCCTCCTTTCTTCCCGCCTTTACCTCAGTCTGCTACAGGCCAGCAGGTCAAGTGTCAGTACCACCACCAGAGGGCTCCTTCTTCACTAAGACAGAGCGACAGACAGGTGGACAAACGTATGCAGCACCACTATGATAAGGCCACCCAGACGTACTGGAGACCACCAAACCATGCTGTGAGTCTGAAACATCAATTCATCAATTTAAAAAAAACATTTTTTTCTGTGCAGTCGTGACCATCAGACCTCACTTTGGGATACAATGATGAGTGCATACATACAGCATATTGCTGACCTCTATTTGATAAAACATAATTTGACAGTTTATTTAATGCAAAGAATAATGTAAAGGAAAAAAATATATAGGTGTTTGTATGAGGTCGTTCAAATCTTTAGCTTCAGGTAACAATCTAAAAAGCATGAGAACGCTTTTCCAGCTGCTGGCTGGAGGGGTTAAATCACTATACTGTGCTCTCTCTGTGGAGCACAGCTTATTGGGTTGTCAGCAAGCTTGTCACACTGTCCTCCACTCTTAATAGCTAGATGTCACTGAACAGGGACTTGCGACGTTGGTCTTAATGTCGGAGTGATGGAGAAGGAGATTTATTGGAAGAAGGAAGTAGACATAGAGGCGCATAGATAGACAGGTGGCAGATGGATAGATATGTGTTCGCTGTGTTTATCATAGCCAGCACAGCGTGATGTGTGGCAGCCAAGTATTGGTTCAATGGTGGGAGTGCCACAGGCAGTGTGCCTAGTAAACACTCCCTTAATTGACCTGCTCTCAGCTAACAGGGTGTGATGTACAGACACACGCACACACCCACTCACACAAAGAGGCAGATATAAGCACTGTGACACAAAAGGAAATAATTTTAAGATTGATATCTGCTTAACTGTAACACATGGTATGGCCAAACTCATGATTATTAAGAGTGGACAAATGTTTTTAAATTGGCTTATACCGACTACAGGTGAAGAACAAAAGACAAAACAAGCAAGCTTACCAACTATAGAAGGTCCCTGCTTGCCACAGGAGCTTATGGTTTAACAGTTGCTATGGTAACCATCAAAGAAGGGCTAGCAGAGCTTGATGGGAACAGTCTCCGTGGTGGGAGCATCTTTCTGTGACCTGTAGTACCTGGTGTGTGTTAATGCTCAAAAACATTAAAAAAAACCCAAAAACAAAACAAAAAAAATCAAAACAGATTTCTCTTGTGATTTTTATCTCTGTTCTTTTTGCTTGTTTCATCAGTAATCTGTACTGGCCACCACATTCCACTCTTCCTGCTTTAATCTACATTACTGTGTCATCACCAGAGTGAAGACCATTTCCTACGCTCTTGTTTTGCAGCCTTGTTGAGATAGCAGCATGTTACTTTCCAGAGCTTGCAATTGCTCCTAAAGATTAGCTCTGAGTTTGTTTCATTTTTTTGAGAAGTAAAAATAAAAGAGAACACAGAGTAAGCAAATACCAGGAAGAAACAGATTTTTTTTTCCTTGGTCTTTTTAGTTGGTATCGAAGCTCTCGGTAGCACACTGACAGGTTTAGCACCTTTAGCAAGTCTGGGTTCATTAAGAGTTTTCCTCTTATAGTACTTTGCTTTTCCCACAGTTTTCTATGTGTGTGGTTTTCCTAGACTAGCTATTCTGCCTTTTTTTCCCTCCTCCCTACTGACAAATTAATCATGTCTGGCTGTCTTTATTTCACTCTCCAATGCTCTTCCTCTAACACATATACACACACACACACACAAACACACAAACATGGTGTCATTGTTATTGTTTTTTTCTCTCTTGCTCTCAAAAATGCCCTTTTTGGTTGATTTTTTCTTCTCCTCTGACATTTAAAGGGGTGCTCTGTCAAAGCACTGGAGTACCTCGTGCCCCGCAATAGTATTTTTGAAAGCTACGCTGAACGGCTTGGTCAAGATTAATTTTGATGTCAAAGGCCAGTAGCTATAATCTTTTAAAGCTTTAATGTTGATATATAGTTGCCTTATCTGTAGCCCAAGGGGCAAAATGTGCTCTCTGATTCTGGGAGGTCTAGATGTCCGTGCTTGGACATGGACTGAAAATTCTCTGTGTGCTTTGAACTTAGATTAAGAGTATCACAAAAGAGTGAGCTTGTGTCCTTTGACCCTTGGACATGAGTGTATTTACTTGTTAGTGAGTCGTTTATTATTCATGCAACATCTTCAGTCATTCCGCTTATATTTTGTCAGTGACCAGAACTTGTGCTATTGCTTTTCAGGCTGCTTTAACCCATCCTCTTCACCTATTTCCCGACTTCTTCGCAGCCTCTGCGAAGGCTGTGGTAACATATTCTCCGCCGGCTCCCACAGCTTCTTATTTAGATCTGCTTGCAATCCAATTTTGAGGCCAAAACTTGCTCAAGAAAAAAGAAAAGATAAGAAAGGCTTACATTATGGAATGTGTATAGTGCTGTCGGTGAACATAATGCCGACAACGATTGTACACGGTTGTCGCAGCATGACGCAAGTGTAGTGTGACAGTAGGAGCTACTTAAATGTTGCCTGTAGAAAAATAATCTTTGTGAATAGCTTCCCAGAGCAATCTCAGCAGGAGAAATGTTTTGTCTGCCTCTTCCTTTTGCAGCAAATAAAACATGAGCAGTGTGATTTGAGTAATTTCAGATGTAATACAATAGAAAACTACACAGCCTTGTGGTTATATATTTGCATTATTTTCTGTCATGTGTATGTGAGAGATGCCCTGTTTGTCTGCGTTTTGTTTGTGTGTGTGTGAGTGGGTTGTGCCACATGTATCTCTTGTACTCAAGTGCGGGCCACACTCAATGTGACTGAACAATGAGTTCAGCCGACTGAGGACTGGGGAGCCGACCTTGTTAATAACCCAGATAAACAAACACGCAGATGAGCCACAGCAGTGAAACAATGACAACACAATAGGCAGTGTTTCATCAGTGGCAGACAGAGAGGATAATTACGGCTATCCTCCCACTCCCTCTTTGCCTCTTAAACATCCTCTTCTTCATCTCTTCTTCTCTTCTCACACCTCCCTTCGTGTCTCTTTTATCTCTTCCGCTCTTTCTTCTATCTTTCTTATTTGCTTCATTGATTTCTTTCTTTCTTTTGTATTTTTTTGTCTGTCGTTCTTTCCTTGACATTACAGCTCTTCTTGACTTCTTACCTCAGTTACAATTAGATCATTTTGTTGTCACTGAGAGGGAGAGGATGGGGAAGAGGGTTAGTGATTAGTGTTAAGCTGCCAAAGGTGTTCCCCACTCAGATGCGAGTGTTACTTCCCCTTCCTCATTCTCTCAGTTTGCCCCCTCGCATCAGGCACACATTCCACACGCATGTTCATTAATACGAGCTTGTACGACAGAGTCATCTTTGCCAGGTGAGGATTTAATTGCCAAAGTCGGTGAAGTGAAACATTGGGGCCAGGGCAGGAGTATTAGTTGTAACCAACTTCGTGAAACTCCGTGTAATGGATTAGGAGACCTGAGCAGAGCAGGGCTGTTTTTAGTGGCTCAGATGTATCTTCTAAATAGTGTTGTTATTTGAAGAAAGGTTGTAGGATCACAAAGAAAAACTTTTATTCGACTTTTAGATTCTTGTCCTACTTTCCCAAGTTTCGCCATCTGCTTTGGGGACTGTGCACACAAGAGGTAGAGTGCATCTCAGTCTGAGAGGGTCTCTTGTGAACATACTACTACCACCAATACTAATATGGCTATTTCCACTGAGAATAGCAATGTTACGCATGCAAACACATTTTTAAAAATTGTTTATTACTGTACATCCCCCTCATTTCTCTGTACTCCCAGAAAAATATCAGTCTGGCTCAATCAAGCTCTTTTGCTAGATTTGAAGTAGGTACAATAGGAGGTGAAGCACTTACTACTGTATTTTCAAACTGACATACCAAAAGAAAAAATATTTTCTATTTTCAGGCAGAAAGTCTGAATTAGCCTAACCAATATCGTATATTACTGGATTCAGCACAGTGAGACCTTTCCAGCAAATCCTGTTTAGTGATTCTGGGACAATCCTGACTAATACAGTTGAAACGTATATGAGCACATTCATTGCAGATTCTCATTTGAAATGTTCACCCATTGTACTTCTGTGTTTGTAGAGCTCTATTTCATCAAGAGATCACAATGTTAACTTTTTTTCCCCTATAGAGGAAGCCTCAGTCCACTCTCACACCCAGTTTGGAATTAATTTGGCCTTCCATTATGAAATTACATGAGTTCAGGTGTAGCATCTCCCATTTGGCTTAACATTTTTGAGGGGATATCACAATATCTGTTAACTTTTGAGAACTTTCATTATTTAAGAAAACAAGTTAAAACATCTAAAAAGCTATTGTTGCAATGATATTGGTATCTTTAAAATGCTGTAGTTTATACATGTAGCATACACATACCTCCACCACTAATCTTGTGTTATACCAAAAGTGTGTTATGTATGCATTGCTGAAGCTATTCCACAAGGACTGGTGGTCCAATCCATAAAGGCTTGACCATTTAGGGCAGCGGTCCCCAACCTTTTTTGCGCCACGGACCGGTTTATGCCCGACAATAGTTTCATGGACCGGCCTTTAAGGTGTCGCGGATAAATACAACAAAATAAAACTTGTACTGGTACCGAAAAAAAAAGAAAATTTATTCATAACACACGTGAAAAGACCAAGGAAAACCGAGTAAACGCTAAAAACGATAACAAAATAACGCTGAAAACCGATAAAATCCCTGAAAACTATACATTTCACACCTGAGCCTCAACTCTCGCGGCCCGGTACCAAACGACTCACGGACCGGTACCGGTCCGAGGCCCGGGGGTTGGGGACCGCTGATTTAGGGGGCGAGGTCAGCCGCAAGGAGGTTTAGGAGATTAACATTGTTGTTTTTTTTAAAGAAAGAGTTGAGAAGGAAGTGTTGCCAGACGCAGTCTATGTGCTGGTGGGAGAGAAATGATGAAATTGATGGATGGCATATATAAAAAAATAACTTGTATAATTTTCCCAATTTCTGTCTCACTGCTCTTGTGAAGCTCTGTCAGCCCTTTATTGGAGACCTTTTACAGCTGTGGAAAATGTAAAAAAGGCTAAGCTGCCGAGTTCTATTAAAGCTGCCAGATACTGTCTGAATCATTCAAGAGCCCTCCAACACGCTCTCTTGT